TTCCAATTCTGATGCGGCCTTTGCCAGCAGCTGTAGCACAGTTGCATTCTCGGCGGCTGATGGTGTGAGTATTGCAGGTGTCGCCGTGCGCGGTTTTTCTATTGGGCGTCGTGCGCAGCTGGGAAAGCAAACAAAATATGTTCAGCCGTACAAACATCCAGGTAGGCTGACCGCATGCTTGCTAGAACTTTCGTCGACAACATGCGGCATGACCAGGTAAGTTCAGAGATCACATCTGAATTGTGAAAAAAAAACATTTGGTTTACGTCATCAGTCCCCTCATCAGGTTTTCTATTATAAATTATTAAATTATCTGCATCACCCAATAGTGATGATCAGGAATTAAAAGGCCCCTTGGACTGTGGTTTCCGGTCTTTTCGCGATCCCACTCAGTAAACCGAACAACCTCATTTTAACAATGCTGTCGGTGTGGGCTACCGCACATGATGCCAGCCCAGGGTAAATCGAGCCTAGTGTTAAGCTGTTCAACTAAAAATGACGACAGCATTGCCAGTGAAAGAGCGCTCGAGGACCAAGCCATCTAGGAAAATATGAAGAGGGAAAGCGGCCAGGGGCCATGGAGCACGACAACTCACCTTAGTATCATCCGCGAACATCTTGACTGCGCCTCGCACATCTGGTTTATCGCTAACGAAAATAATGAACAGGATTGGTCCCAGCACCGGTCCCTGAGCGACGTACCACTGGCGACGTCAGTCCGGTCAGACTTCGAGCAATGGACCCCCACTATCTGCCGCTGGATGGAAGCAGATCCTAACTTTACTACTTTGTCTGTCGCTAAAGAGCTGCGGATGTCGTCGATTTATTGCCCAGATTCAGACGTCATGCTTTGAAAGGTCTCCTAGCGCTTTCAAGCTGGCATAGCATATGACCAAGCTGACATGACAAAGAAAGATAGGCTCTTTTCATATTAGCATCATAAAACAGGGATACACTTTGGCGCCAAAATGAAATGCACAGAAACCAGGATGAACAGGAGTGAGGCCCATCCTTTACCGTCAGGTCTTCAAAAATAGACTAAACGTCACTTTGAAAGCGATGCGAAAGTTGCATTCCATGTTACCCGCAGCGAGCACCCCTGTTGCAACGCTACATCATTGAATGTTATCCATAAACGGTCTGCGGGCAAAACAAGGTCATGTGTCGCCCCTCACACGGCCGAGGCTGTCTCTGTGGTGACTGTCCGATGTCGAGGCGCCGGTCGGAGCTTTATCAGTCATGTGTCGCACCTCAAACGGCCGAGGCTGTCTCTGGGGTGACTGTCTGATGTCGAGGTGCCGGTCGGAGATTTATCAGTCACGTGCCGCCCCTCACACGGCCGAGGCTGTCTCTGGGGTGACTGTCTGATGTCGAGGCGCCGGTCGGAGCTTTATCAGTCATGTGCCGCCCCTCACACGGCCGAGGCTGCCTCTGGGGTGACTGTCCCATGTCGAGGTGCCGGTCGGAGATTTATCAGCCATGTGTCGCCGGTCACCGACTGTCCCCATGCTGTCATTACATCCTGTTGAGCGTCGGTGTTTTGCAGCGGTGGCGGAGGCCAGGCAATAAGGGCAGCGGCTGGGCTTCTCATGGCGAATTCCATGTGTTATTGCGAGTTTTTTTTTGCAATTACGGAAGTATTTGTTCAGCTTCTATTCATGACTTCTTTGTGCACCTACTTTCCGGTACGGTGATTTTCAGTTACTTATGGCTAGACCAACTCTTATCAGGTCCAAATAACGTGGATCCAATTAATCCGCGACCCAAAAAAGACATCTGCTCCCAGGAATTTAAACTGTCCGTGAAATAGCTTCGTCCGGTATTGCGGCGAGCAATGTCTGCTTCATCCGAGGCTTACTGACGAGCATGCATTTTAAAGGACCAGAAGCTTCTGATGCTTTTAAAGCCAGATGCCAGAAGCTTCTTATGACGCATTTTAGTCGATACGTTGTTTGTTACCCTTTAGCACGCGTAGTTGAATGCATCGACCTTGTTTTATTGGTTCACTGTCTCGTGTGGCTGCATGAGAAAATGATTGGATTTTCTCCTTTATTTATGATGATATCATGAATGCAATTGATCCCTCATGTCGTTGCTTGGAAGAGCTCCTTGTATGTACTTTCTCGTTAGACTACTCAACACCCATTATCGTTGAGTTAGGTGCTTTAACCGCAGCAGTTTATTGTGAAGGACTAGGCGAAAGTACGTTTAAAACAATAGTTTCTCGGTTAAAAGCGGTAAAAGTAAAACAGGTACTCGATTTCAGGCATAGCTCAAAAGGGCATTCATGTACCGAGTAGACATCCCTTGCTATAGACTGCTGATCTGTCATTTTTCAGTCGCCGTTAAGAATACCCAGCAACTACAACAGCAATCAAAAATAGATCGACACTACCATCTCCAAATGGCTCCAAGAGTCACGTCACCGGGGAGGGTGGCACGTCGTCCGTGCAACGGAACTGCATCGCACCTCTTCATTGACGTCCCATCGTACTGCAAACCATTTGGCGACTGGGCTCCCTGCTGCGTCGGGAAAGCTGGCCTTCACCGTGATCTAAGGCCTCCAATACCCCGCTTAGCTGCAGACAAAGTTGGTAGATGTGATCCACTGTTCATTGTGAAAACTCTAGTGCACAATACCATTTTATAGCGTGGCTTTTAACCGCGGAACTCGGATTGTATTGATCACCACTTTGCGAACACTTCTCGTCCATCGCACTGTCGACTTATCCTCAATCCCATGTTTCGGCTGGCATTAATCTTGATGTAAGAGTAAGATCTTGGGGCTTGAAGCCATATGTCGTAGCCACTGGCCAGTGGCGGGCCATGGGTAACGACTCCTTAAGAATCTTACGTCATCTGCTTTCAAGGCTCAAGTATGCTTGAAAATGGCCTGAACCTTACTGCCCGTAAAACGCTTCAACAGAATAGTTGATAAAATATTCTGAAAGATGAGCATCTTAGCATCCAAAAAAGATATACTGGCTTTGATAAGGTGCTACGAAGTCTTAGCCGCAGTTTGGTACGACTTTGTGGTGGAGTGGGGTGGGGATGAGATAGGCGTGGAGTGGAGTGAGGATGAGATAGGTGTGGAGTGGGGTGAGGATGAGATAAGCGTGGAGTGGAGTGAGGATGGGATAAGCGTGGAATGGGGTGAGGATGAGATAGGCGTAGAGTGGGGTGAGGATGAGATAAGCGTGGAGTGGGGTGAGGATGAGATAGGCGCGGAGTGGAGTGAGGACGAGATAAGCGTGGAGTGAGCTGAGGATGAGATAAGGAGTGTGCAAGAGAGTCACAACATTTTTCATGTGGCCAAAATCGTCCAGCGTTGATTTCCTGCGCCTTTGGGGTCCTATTTATTAGCAAATGGTGGTGGAACCCAGGTTGCAGGACCAGCCGGGTTGAAATGGAAGCCAGGTTGCAGGACCAGCCGGGTTTCTGTAGATTCTTTCCTACCATTGTATTGCTAACAAACGCGACCCAAAACATTATGATCGTTATTTGGAGTCGGGTATCATCGAATCTCATTTTCGGAATAGAATAGCAGCACGTCAGTTTTTTTCCAAAGTGCAGTGAGAATTACTGGTTAAATTCATACAATGTAATTGGACCTTGGTCAAAGCGTAGTGCTTTTTTAAGTCGACAAAACAATGAGTGCCTTTTCCTGTACTGTACAGCCTTTTCAGATCACAAGAAATGGGCTATTGGGTTTCAGACCGTTTAATAAGCATGTTTAGGGAAGCTGATATGCCCAAACTAAAATAGCTTCGATACGTGCTTCAGCCAGGTGGTGTTAAGGTTCAAATCTTGGGCTTAAAATCAATTTCTTTAAGTTTGGGGCTTACCAAATGCCAAAAAGTGCTAGGTCAACCATTTCAGTGCGTGGGATGCGCTGCGCACTCCATGTACCTCTCTTTGCTGCGCAGGGTTTCTTGCTGGGCTCATCCCTAGCACGGACTTGTGCCCAGCTGGCATGCAGCACCTCTACCAGATGGGACCAGGCAAGGCCCGAGCTGGAGCCCGCCTCCTGCCCAGGCCACGCCAATATCCCAGACAGGGCCCCAACTGGAGCCCATCGCCTGCCCAGGCCACGCCAACGTCCCAGGCAGAGCCCCAACTGGAGCCCAGCGCCTGCCCAGGCCACGCCAGTGTCCCAGGCAGAGCCCCAACTGGAGTCCAGCGCCTGCCCAGGCCACGCCAACGTCCCAGGCAGAGCCCCAACTGGAGCCCAGCGCCTGCCCAGGCCACGCCAATGTCCCAGACAGGGCGCCAGGTGGAGCCCAGAGCCTGCCCCGGCCACGCCGATATCCCAGGCAACGCCCCAACTGGAGCCCAGCGCCTGCCCAGGCCACGCCAATGTCCCAGGCAGGGCCCCAACTGGAGCCCAGAACCTGCCCAGGCCACGCCGATATCCCAGGCAGCGCCCCAACTGGAGCCCAGCGCCTGCCCAGGCCACACTGATACCTTGGTATTTTGCCAACGTGTGCCCAGATGATGCCCAGCTACGCCACGGGTAGACAGTTCATCTGTGGGCAGGCCACGGCTTATCACAAATATGTTGCAGGGGCCATCTGGGGCCTTGCTGAGCACTCCGTTGCCACCCACCCAGTCTGCCCGTCTGGAGCCCGGCCGGGGACATGATAAAATGCCAGCTAGGCCTAGATGGGTGACCTCATTGAGCATCTAGCACGGGCATATGTGTAAAATCGCATGGTTCCTGAAGAGCCAGGTCAACCAGTAACGTTGTTACTGACGGGCGTTTCACTCACATGTTCGAACTGAAGTGGCTGAGTTTCGCCTTCCCTTCGAAATCACAGCAGCTTGGAACAGCGTCTCTCAGAAGTACAGCCGACCCGCGTTGCGTGTGTCTTGCAGTGAGCGAGGAAAAGACATTCTTAACATGAGGGCGTCTGCATGAGCGTATTCAGGGAAGGTTGAGGACCACGTTTTGAAATGATGCGTGAGGAATAGTAATGCTTTGTTGACTTTGCTCTCAGCGCTTAACCACGCTTGCCACGAATGCAATGCGCCAGCTGGATGTCCTTGGGCATGATGGTCACCCACTTGGCGTGGATGGCGCACAGATTCGTGTCCTCGAACAGACCGACCAGGTACGCCTCGCTGGCCTCCTGCAGAGCCATGACAGCGCTGCTCTGGAAGCGCAGGTCCGTCTTGAAGTCCTGCGCAATCTCGCGTACCAGGCGCTGGAACGGCAGCCTACGAATGAGCAGCTCCGTGCTCTTCTGGTAGCGACGGATCTCGCGAAGAGCCAACGTGCCCGGACGGTAGCGATGAGGCTTCTTGACGCCGCCTGTGGCATTTGACAAACATTGATCGAAAATCATACGTTTTATCCATGATGGGCCACATACACACACGCCCACACACACGCACACACAAAAACGGTGGACGGTATTGTGGACGGTCTGTTTTTGTGAAGATATTCAAAAACACATCACTAATTACCCAAGCACATATGGTGAATTATGCGCACATTTCACCTTTCAGTATGCTGGAGATACGCAAATGCACCATCTCAGCTTCACAAATCAGGTAAGGCTGAGGTGGTGCATAGTTTATGAGAAACTGATGCAAACTGCCAGGCGTTCATTGGTGATTGTTGTGTCTACACAAATGAGGTTTGAAACAAACAATAAAGGTCGGTAATAAACACTATGCATATATATATATATATATATATATATATATATATATATATATATATATAATGAACAATAAGAACAGAAGTGGACGAAATCCGAGAACACTTTTGTACCAGATCCCTTATAGCGCCTTCCAAGACTCTAACCCCCCCCCCCCCCCACGGACCACGGCCCTCAATTATTTTGAGAAATCGACACCCATGAACGCTGTGACCTGTTTCAACAGCATGCCTTCTCACATGTCTCAGCCCGCGTGCCAACCACACATTTAAGACACTGAAAATATCCGCTACGGCCGCTGCAGCTGCTGTTGCCGCTGCTGCTGTTGCTCTCGCCAGACGCAGTCAGCTGTTGCTCGCCACGCGGAGGCAAGCGGGGCCGGACCTTGCCGCGGTCCCCGTCCGACCTCCTGCCTCGCTCGCTCCTCGCTTGACCCGGGGACTCGCTCCGCTGCCGGCCTCGTCCCCGAACCGAGTTCGTTCCGCTATTTCCGGCCATGCTGCCGCCGCTCGGTCCGCCTATTCGCAGCGGCGTGGTATTTCGGTGGCGGCGGCGGCGGCGGCCGGGAGCTGCCCGTCGATCGCCGCGCGCAGCGAGGCCGCGGCGGCGGCGGCGGCGGCGGCGGCGGCGGCCGCAGTGGCGCGCCGGCAGCGCGCGGGGCGGCGGCGGGCTGGCGGCACGCGGAGGGGTCCGGCCGCACGCAGAGCAGAGCAGCTGCGCGGCCCATGCGGCAGCGGCGGCGCGCGGCGCGCGGCCCGGCGACGCGCTAGCGCTGCTGCTGGCGGCGCTGCGCGGCCTCTTCGGTGGCCTCGGTCGGCTCGTGTGCGCCGTCACCGTCGGCATCCTCTGGAGAATGGTGAGTGGCCGCTGCGGCCGGACAGATGGTTGGCGGACAGCCGGTGTCAGAGGTGGAGGGAGGGAGTGGTCGGTCAACTCGACGACAATTGGGGTCTGCACTGCCTGCTTGCACAAAGAATGCCTCGGCCATCGTCTCGTATAGAACTGGGCGATGACATATGACAAATACTTGTGTATGTCACTTGAGCACTTGCGCGCATGAGCATGAGCACATGCGCGCTCGGTGCGGATGGAGAAGGAGAGTGTCGCAATCTTTTCTCAGGGAGAGCGAAAAAGGAAACATTTTTTTATAATAATTCATTGATACCTAATTTCGGGAAATGCGGATGCCCATCACCTACCTCCCCTGTATCACGAATGACACATATTTTTAGTTAGCTTCACTGTTGGTGGCTGTGTAAGAAAAATGAGTTGTTTCCAAAGAGTCTGCCTGTGTTAAAGCCTGCAATCGTGGACAGGTCCACAGAGAAAATTACGGCACTTATGGAAGGGAAACCCTTTTAGTTATCAAAAAGTGCCAACACTACCACTTCAAGTTAACTTATTAATCGAACCAGCGTTAAGACTCGCCGCGATCACAGCAGCGGTGTGCGCCAGCGCCACAGGACGGCCGCAGGGTGGGGCAGCGATGTGCGCCAGCGCCGCAGAAGGGCCGCCGGGTGGGGCACTGGTGTACGCTGGCGTCACAGAACAGTCGGAGGGTGGGGCAGCGGTGTGCGCCAGCGCCACAGAAGGGCTGCAGAGTGGGGCTGCGGTGTGCGCCAGCGCCACAGAACGACCGCAGGGTGGGGCAGCGATGTGCGCGAGCGCCGCGGAATGGCCGCAGGGTGGGGCATTGGTGTGCACCAGGGCCACAGAAGGGCCGCAGAGTGGGGCATTGGTGTGCGCCAGCGCCAAAGAACGGCCGCGGGGTGGGGCAGCGGTGTGCGCCAGCGCCACAGAACGGCTGCAGGGTGGGGCTTGTCATGTGAGGACAGGAAGCGGCGAGGACATCGCTTATGTGGCTTCCGGAGCGGATCAGCCAGTTGGCACAGGCACATCCCACGGCGGACTCTGCCATTGTCCATGGTCTCGATGGTAACCGACCGGAGACGGCTGACTCGCTATCGCGACTCCGCCCAGCCGTATCAGCGGCTGATGCGTTCGCGGAATGACGATGGACGGCTCGGCCACGACAGCATGGACTCCGACATGTTGACAATTAGTCTGGCCCCATTAGTTCTTTTAATACTGTTAATTGAATGGTAAATGATCGTCATCTGAAGTGCTGTTACGGTCGGTATTCTGTGTTTGTGGACGGCCTGCAGACAGAAGACATGATGCTCCTCAACGGTGATTCCCAATATTCCCGATTCTCCCTCCCCCTTTGGTGCCGCAATAGTCTTGGATGCGGCGGTTGGCGGCAGCGGTTGGTCGAGGACTGTCACTGACCGCTCCAGATTATGCCGCCACCTCCAAATTCAGGCGGTCAGGCACTAAACTGGCTCATCACCTTTTATAACAGATGCAGGAGGCAAGTTGAGCTGCTTCCTTAAAAACGCCTACGACCGGAAAACACAGCAAAGGCATCCGACGATGGCACTTGGCCTGAAAGTTTCGACGACTTCGCTATTCACGGTCCGTGGCTGCCCTCCAGATACACTAAGTGACCGTCAAGGCTTGATAGCGGTGCCGGGCTGGTTCCATGAAGAGTGCAGTCCCCCGAGGGCCGTGCTCTATCGTTTGGAACTCATGGTCACGGTGTTGGGCCTGTCATTTCAACTTCGCTCACGTCTGGGCACAAAGTGCGGTCCCCCTCAGGACGCTCGCTGTTTCTTTGGCGGTTGTGTTTGCCATAGCAGGGTTACTGTGCTGTCATTTTGAAGCAATGCTTTATCACATGAAGTTCGCGATCAGTCACTGGAAGGCCACTATTATTTGTATCGGATAGTGGTTTGATTCTAAGGCTACAGTTTGTCGCTCGGATCCCGGGGAGCGTGCTGTCTTATGAGTTAGTCAAGGTAACGTTTTTGAACATATTTGGTTGATCAGAGGCAGGTTTAACATTCCCAGAGACGTTTTGGCATTATTTGAGGGCTGAGCCAGTTTTCACAAGGCAATGGCTCCTCATCTGAATCAGGTGATTGATCATTTAGAGGTGGCATTGGGCCGCCCTGAAATGGCTTCAACAATTTAAGGTGGTATTTGGCCTCGTGCGGCGGCAACGTTTAGTCTTCAGAGACCGTTAAGCCTTTAGAGGCCGTTTAATCTTCAGAGGCCGTTTAGTCTTCAGAGACCGTTTTCGTTCTGTCAAGCGGCATTTGGTCATGTTGTGTTGGCTCGCGGGGTGGCAGGCGGTATTTGGTCATGTTATGTCGGTGCGCGGGATGTGTAGGCGGTATTTGGTCATATTGTGCCGGTGCGAGGGGTGTGCAGACGGTATTTGGTCATATTGTGCCGGTGCGAGGGGTGTGCAGGACGGTATTTGGTCATGTTATGCCGGCGCGAGGGGTGTGCAGGCGGTATTTGGTCATGATGTGCCGGTGTGAGGGGTGTGTAGGCAGTATTTTGTCATATTGTGCCGCTGCGAAGGGCGTGCAGGCGGTATTTGGTCATGTTGTGCCGGTGCGAAGGGTGTGTAGGCGGTGTTCCGCTGAGCGAGGCCGGCACTGCTCACTCGGAGGCGGCGCTCGCCCTCCATCGCCTCTGTGTGCTCGCTGCCGGCAATAGTCGCCCCCTGCGCCGCCGGCAGCCGACGCCAGCCGCTCCCCAGCGGCCGGCGGCCGGCAGTGTCCGCACCATTCCGGCCGGGCGGGCTCGGTAATGACCCCCGGCTGAGCCGCAGGGGGGAGGAGTCCAGTCCCCTCCCCCCACCGGCGGCCGGGCTGGCCGAGATAGCCAGCCCGGCGAACAGTCAGGTCTCAGAGCACGCCCTTAGCACGGCCTGAGCACGGCTCAACCAAGGCCCGAGCATGGCCCAAGCAAGGCTCGAGCTCGCTCCAACCAAAGTCCGAGCACGGCCCGACCGCGGCCTAATCACGGCCCAACCACGAACCAGCCACGGCCAGTGCACGACCCGACCACGCTCCGAGCACGGGTCCAAGCACGACCCGAGCAAGGCCCGATCACGATCCGAGCACGGGCCCGAGCACGGCCCGAGCAAGGCCAGAGCACGGCCCGAGCACGGCAGCTCGCCCGGGTGGCCGGAGCCGCCCGACGCGACGCCCATCGATCTGATGGCTTGTCCGGCCTCCCGTAACACGGCCGGCCGATCGGACGGCTCTGATGCCGGCCGCATCGATCTCTCGCCGTGTCTCCCGTGTCCGCTGCCGTGTCTTCTGCGTCCACCGTCGTGTTTCCTTTGTCCACTGATGTGTCTGATGCGTCCACTGTCGTGTCCTCTGTGTCCACCGCCGTGTCTCCGTTGTTTGCCTCCGTGTTTGTTGTGTGCACGGGATACGTCTCCAGTGTCTGCTGTATACACGGCTACGTCTCCAGCGTCTGCTGTACGCAAGGCTACGTCTCCAGCGTCTGCTGTATGCACGGCTACGTCTCCAGCGTCTGCTGTATGCACAGGCTACGTCTCCAATATCTGCTATATCCGCAATTGTTTTCCTCTTTCCTTTACCGGATTTGCTGCCTCCATGACCGCGTGCTTTGGGTCTATGACCGTGTTCTCTGGATATATGACCGTGTCCTCTGTGTCTATAAGAGTGCTCTCTGGGACTATGACCGTATCCTCTGGACAGGGGTGAAACTTCTTATCCCTTTGGGCAGATGGGGGGGGGGGGGGTCTCCCAGTACTAAGTTGGAGATACCTATATTGGGCTGCTCCCCCCAAGTAT